ATACAGTGAAACCCTTAATAACGAATACATCGAAAGAATTCATCAAATGTCGTATTCTTCACTTTCTGATAATGGAATGTTGCAGATATTTAGTTTTTTAATTAAATGATTATATGGAACTCTTTAAAACTGTTCCCGCATATTCATGGCTATTTATTTATTTTCGCAAATACTGAAATTTACATAATATAGTATAAAACTAACTGAAAAATTGTCAAGACGACATTTGATAAATTCTTCCGATGTGATCGTTATTTAGGGTTTCACTGTATATAAGAATTATTTTCACTGTTCTGTATTTTTAGTAAAACTGCAAAGCTGCCGATAACGCAAATGGAAGATATTCTGGGTAAAACAATATAATTATAATTTTTTAAATCTTTATTTGTTTTTAAATTTTTATTTTGGTAAAATAACCCGGATTATTATTTTAATTTATCTAACTTTTTATTAGAAAATTATTATAAGAAAATGAATGGTTCTAGTTTACAACAGATTGGAAACATTGTACATTATAGAGTGCAGTTTATAAATCTTTTTTATATTATTTTCCGATGTTAGAGGAGATAGAGAGCTTTTTCATTTCTACAATATTTGATAAGCATATTAAAAAGCTCGAATGTTCTAATTGCTTATGAAAAGTTTTTAACAGCAATTTTAAATCAAATTAAACACACCTATAAATGGCATTATAGTTTTTAAAAGTAATAAAATGTCAAAAATATAACTTTTTTTCAATTAATATATAAAGATAATAAGAAAAAAATTTACTTTTAAAATAATAATCACAACATGTGGCTAGTTAGTACTTTTTGTCATATAAACTTTATTATCTGTTTAGCAATGTGAAGTTTACTTGTTGTGAACCATAAATCTATTTTAAATCAACTTTACTTCTAAACTATGGTCCGCTAGGGAGCGGAAGCTTTTTTTAAATAATCATTTAGACTTCCAATGATCAATCGTTGAGACAAGTTTGTTAATCCCTGAAGCCTGAACTTGACGTTAAATTCAATTTATGAACTTTAAAAAAACGTGATCTCTTATCATTATTTTAGAACGGATGCTAATTCTTCCTTATTTACAGTGATAACTAGAAAACTCATTTAAGAAGACGACTTTTAGACTCAAGACATTAGAAATATCAAATGTTAGAGTGTAAACAGACCCATTTCTAGTAATTAGTGATTTAATAAGAACCTAGAAAAACTATTTACAGTGTAACAACAATAAAATGCATTACCATAATGTCGTCTTCCTATTTTATATATTATTATATTCGGTTAGAACTACTGCCGTTTGAACTATTGACTTTTTTAAATATTGGTCGTTTGAACTATTGCACGTGGTACCAATTGTAGTACTTCAAATGACTAATAGTTCAAACGATAACATTCTGAGCATATTTGAACTATTTATTTTGCTCATTTGAACTAGATTACAAAAATAGTTGAATTGAGCCGAAAAATATATGGTTTAAATGAGCAAACAAAATAATTCAGATGAGCCAAAAAAATCAATTGAGCAAAAAAATAGTTCAAATGAGCCCAAAATAGTTCAAATGAGAAAAATAATAGTTCAATGAGGAAAACATAGTTCAAATGAGCAAAAAAAGTTCAAATGAGCCAAAAAATAGTTTGTGTGAGCAAAAATAAAAGTTCCAATGAGCAAAATAATAGTTTTGATATGAGCAAAAAAATAGTTCAAATGAGCAGAAAAGTTCTAATGAACAAAAAATAGTTCAAATGAGCAACACGTAATTCAAATGAGCAAAAAAATAATTCAAATGAAAAAAAAATGTTTCCATGAGCCAAATAATAGCTCAAATGAGCAAAAAACAAAGTTCAAATGAGCAAAAACATTATTATATTCTTAAAAAACTCTCTAGATTTTTAAATCACTTAGAAACGGATATAAAGCTCTCGCTGCCGGCTGGTTCAGCATTTGTAACAGATCTGCAGTACTCAGACAAGGAATATGAGAATACATTTCCAAAATATCATTTTATGAAACATAATGTGTACTTTGTGATTCTTACTCACTTCATGGTTGAATTTTATTATGAAAGTGCTATAAAAAATGAATATAAAATTAAAATTAACTTGCTAAAGGTTAGGACAAAATAAAAGTTAAATAGCTTCTCGATAAAGGGAAAATTACCGTCTAAAAACTTTTAACCGTGTGTTATAAATAGTTATTAAACAGTTTTTAAACATTAACACTTTTCTTTAAAAAATGTTCAATCAGTAACAATGCTTTAAAACCAAATCAGATTCAAATTCTCTATTTTAAATTTAGTTTTTTTTTTGTTTGTTTTTCTAGATAGTTTTCTGTCATTTTTTATTGTATTCACAATATTTGTTAGATAACATATCAGCGACTATGGAATGAGAAGGTATCATTTATCAATCATTCTTTTGCCACAAGCTCTGCAAATTATCTAATCTCTATATATTTAAACATTTGAATTTGTGGCAAACATTTAATTTGTTTGGCAGACTTTTAAAATTTAACTTTATACTTTAATTATGTTGTTTAATTCATTTCGCTGAACAGTGAAAATAAAATTAATATATCTATTGAATTACTTTTTATTATGATTACATTTCATGTTTAGTATGAAATAATAAATATTAAATAAGATATATAGAGTAAAGGTCAATAATGGAAAAATGCTCAAATTTTTTATTTTCTATATACAAACACATTTTGACGATAAAAATGTTAACATATAATGTGCGGGGTTTTCAGAAAAAAATTGCCTTTAATTTTGTTGTTGCGCTTAAGCAATCTTACATGATGTTGTTTGATGTTGTTTGATGTTGATTGATGTTGTTTGATGTTGATTGATGTTGTTTGATGTTGTTTGATGTTGATTGATGTTGGTTGATGTTGTTTGATGTTGATTGATGTTGTTTGATGTTGATTGATGTTGTTTGATGTTGTTTAATGTTGGTTGATGATGTTTGATGTTGTTTGATGTTGATTGATGTTGTTTGATGTTGTTTGATGTTGTTTGATGTTGTTTGATGTTGTTTGGTGTTGTTTGACGATGTTTGATGGTTTTTGATGTTGATTGATGTTGATTGATGTTGTTTGATGTTGTTTGATGTTAATTAATGTTGTTTGATGTTGTTTGATGTTGTTTGGTGTTGTTTGATGTTGTTTGGTGTTGTTTGATGTTGTTTGATGTTTTTTGATGTTGTTAAATGTTGTTTGATGTTGTTTGATGTTGTTTTGTTGTTTGATGCTGTTTTGATGTTGCTTGATGTTGTTTGATGTTGTTTGTGTTGGTTGATGTTGTTTGATGTTGTTTGATGTTGTTTGATGTTGTTTGTGTTGATTGATGTTGTTTGATGTTGTTTGATGTTGTTTGATGTTGTTTGGTGTTGTTTGATGTTGTTTGATGTTGTTGATGTTGTTTGATGTTGTTTGATGTTGTTTGATATTGTTTGATGTTGTTTGATGTTGTTTGGTGTTGTTTGATGTTGTTTGATGTTGTTTGATGTTGTTATCAAGCAAATAGTTTTGACAGTAGCTTAAAAATTAACTTATTTAATAAAATGTGTTCATCAGCCTATTAAAGACAAAGAGAATAGAATATAAGTTAGAGTGGATTTTAGCCAATCCTTCGGTATGAATTTGTCAGTCCCTTTCAGCCTGAAAGAGAGTTCAAAGTGTACAAATCATGTAAATGTTCACAAATTATATGCAATAGAGTTCATTACTACAGTATGCTCCCTAGACTATCCATTTCAATTTCGAATTTTTTAAAGCTGTTAAATAAACTTTGTAAAATGAATTAGGTGAATAAAAAACATCATTTGATTTATAGTTTTATCGGAAAATCATCGTTTGTAAACTGAAAGGCATAGAGTCTATGTGAAATGATCATTGGTCAATTACGAAACCAGCTTATTTCATAATTTGGTTTTCTTTTAATATTAATTTTAGATTTTCTATAAAATGATGTTCCAGGGCCCAAAAGGTTATATAGCACAAATATGTGAAGTACACCTGCAGTATGGAAACAGTACAACAAAATGGCCGTTTTACACTTTTTTCTATTAAATTCCCCTCTAATATATATTCTATTCTCTAGTTTATGAGTCACAATCTTTGAAAAATACACTTAATAGTTCAAGATAAAATCTTGTAAACATAGTTTCTTCAACTTTTAGTTTTTTACATAATCACAATTTTATAAATAAATGTTTAAGGTTGTCGGTCATGAATATGGACTTGTAGACTGGTCAGTTGATAAAGATGAAACTCTTCTAAAAGCTATCAGAGTAAGTTTCAGAATATATTTCAGAAATTTCTAGTTTTTTTCTTTATCTTTTTAAAAATAGATGGTACTGGACAAAATTATGATGTATTGGTAAGGTTACAATTATTTAAAGCTACTTTTCAAGGCAGGTATGGGAAACTTACTTTATCAAGTTGGGTTCCCAAAACATAAGTTTGGTAAAATTGGTAAAGGAGCACATGGTTAAATAATTAACTATTTATAACCGTACTGGTTGAAGGGAGGCGAGGTATAAAGTATTTGAGCCAAAAACTTTTCTTTTTTGAGATGGTTTGAGACTTTTTGGATGAGATTTTTAAACAGAGCGTTGGTCAAAAGGCTGTAAACTTTATTCCTTCATTTCTAATTCTAAATATACAAACTTTTGAAAATAATTCTAAAAACACACCATTGTATTCCTATTTTATTTTAACTAGGCTTTTTTCAGAGCAACTACCTTATTGTGGGCTTCGGTGATGAAATTTTGAATTTTATTGGTAATTATTTTAAAATTATTTAGACTTTCAGATATCATTCCAAATTGAATATTTGTTTAAAGTTATTATTTCAAAATTATTTTTTACAACTTATAATTTATATATTCAAACAAACACATCAACAGAGATAGCTAATTAATATAAATAGATATAGACTATACAACTTGACTGAGCTGTTAGCCCTATACTACCCCAGGAAGCTGGAATATATCTAGAAATATATCTAGAAATATATGTAGATTAATATATATTATCTAGATAAGAATGTATGTGAGGTTGAGAGTCTAGCTGTAAGCCCTATACTACCCCAACAGACTGGAATATATCTACGGAAAAATTCACCATTTACAGAATTATTTCAGTGAGTATTTTAAACAAACAAAAAAAGTCTAATATCAACCATTTAACTGAACTTTATCTAAAATTCCAGTTTTGACCAATCACAATAGTACCATAAACAGATTTGTCTGAACAAGGATAAATTAAAAATCATTGTTTACAATTTTGAAAACTGATTTTTTCCAATTTTTCCAATAAAAGTGCGCTGTCAAAGGTACTGCTGTGAATCGGGAGAATAAATGAAGAGTTTCTCGAAATTAAGTTCGTAGTTTTTAAAGGGATGTCTTATAGTTATTGTTAAACGCAGATTCTCAGGTTTCAACCTATATTTATTTTTCCTTGAAAGTCCTTTTGAAGAAACAAAAACATTGATACCTTTAAAGTTTAAACTTGATCATACAAAGCTTTCAAGGGTACTGTTGTACATCGGGCATCTTTGCCTTGAGGGTCACTTGTAATTACAGTTTCTTTAAACCTAGAAAACCGACAATATCTTCCACACTATTGGCCAGATAAAGGTTTTAAGGGTGAAACTTGTATAACCAAAGAGAATAGAATATATATTAGAGTGGAATTTAGACAATCCCTCGGTAAGAATTTTGTCAGTCCCTTTTAGCCTGAAAGGGAGTTCAAAGTGTACAAATCCCTAGACTATCCATTTCAATTTCGAATTTTTTAAAGCTGTTAAATAAACTTTATAAAATGAATTAGGTGAATAAAAACATCATTTGATTTGTTTGATCTATTGGAAAATCATCGTTTGTAAACTGAAAGGCATAGAGTCTATGTAAAATAATCATGGTCAATTATGAAACCAGCTTATTTCATAATTTGGTTTTCTTTTAATATTAATTTTAGATTTTATAGATTCTATTCTCTTTGTGTATAACATGGAGGGTAATTTGAAAATACCCATACCATCCTTTTTAGCATGAACTAAAGTGCTGGCACACTACTGTGCCATGAAACCTTTTCTCTTTAAGCTCTGAAAGAAAGAAAGTAATGCTTGAATGTTTTTGTCTGCAGGCAACAATTAGCTGTGCTAATTGAGACTGGGGTTGTTAGTACTTTAATGGCTAAAAACAAAGGGTAAGTTTTTATGCATGAGATAAGGAATATATCCAACCCTGCTATACGGAAATGGACATTTCAAAACTGTATTCTGGAAAGGTTTGTTATTATGAAAATATGCAAAACTTTTATACCTTACACGAATATATGGGGAAAACTTAAAAACTAACCAAAGAACAATCGTTTGTTCATGTATCAGATAATTACGGAACGTTTTAAAAATCAAAAAATCAAAAAAGGTTTATTTTAACAGAATCAAGCTATAGCTCATCAGTCACAATTCATGTACTAATAGGCAAGCTTTATACAATTAGGGTCGAAAAAACAATTATTAAATGTTTAGAGGGCTGGGAGGAGTCTCTACATGCAACAACACAAATGTAATACTTGGGTTTCAGGTAAAGAAAGTTATTTTAGAGGTTTACGCATTTTCAGTACTGCAGTGTACTGTCTCTGGACTGTAATGTAAACACAAGACGTATGCCACAGCCTGATGGGATCCATCTTTCACATAAAAAATCGATGCAATATTCTGGTCATAGGAAACTATTATATGAATTATCAAACATTTTCTAAATTAAATGCTTTTATCCTCCTTGGATACTAGAGGAACACTGAAGCATCTATTCTTGTTTACAAACACCGCCCAGAGAGAACTGGTTTTAATGCATGTACGGAGAGAATACGCAACAACAATTAATTTTCCTTGCCTTATTACCTTGGGTTGCAGGTATCTATATGAAAATATAGATACATTTTTTTACCTTTGTTATAAGTATTACTAACAACAATCAAAACTCTTTACGTTATTTGTATACACAACAAAACTCTTATACCTCATTTGTAAACAAATCAAAACTCTTTACGTCGTTTGTTAACAAATCAAAACTCTTTACGTCGTTTGTTAACAAATCAAAACTCTTTAAGTTATTTGTAAACAAATCAAAACTCTTTACATCATTTTTAAACAAATGAAAAGGAAGGAAAAATTCAATTATTATTTAGGAATTGTTTAAATTCAAAGAGTTTAATTTGAGATGATGACACCATCACGTCAAACGAAAGTAAAATGTACGTAAGATTTAAATCTTGTTTTTTATCATAACTCCTTTTATTGAAGAGCTATTGAGCTATTGAGAAGCAAAAAAATTTGAATTTATAATATGTAACCGAGTAAATTTGCTTTACTTACACTTGTGTGTAAAATCAGAACTAGAGGAGCAACAGAGTCACAAAGTTGTAACAGTAATGTCAATTGAAATTGACCTTCTCCTCCAGGTTAGTTTGCAGTGACCAGATTGTCATTGGTGTTTGGCGCCTTTTCCCCATTAGATCCAGTTTTTTAATGTTTCTGTTTAGAGTACAGTGTTCCTGTTCCTAGTGGTAGGAGTTGGTATTCTTCTCTCCTGTTCCATTCTTATCTTGGAAAATATTCAGTTTAGGAACAGATTAAATAGATACTAGATAATATTCTATCCCGGTTAACCTAATACCAATGTGCAAATAGGTTCTAGTACAAGAGATCGCAATGTAGAATTTGTACACTTTCAGTACAGCAGTATTCTGACGTCATAAGTGTCAACTTAGTTTCTGTTTCCAACAAAATTAATAATAATACTGATAATTTTAGAATAAAGTGCTTATCTTACAGAACATAAGTGCAATTTTATGTGTGTTTTTTTTATTTAATCTTAAAAAACATGTCAACTAATGTGAGAAAATTTCGTTTTCTTGTTATATTTGACACTTGTGACGTCGTCGTGTATAATTGGTCCATTTCTCTGTTGTCACCTATTGTGCTTGATAATCTATTTGCCAACGTGTGGTCTTTCAGAGTTCAATTATCAGTTGTGCCAGGCCTAGGGCAGGTATAGGTAGAGCTGGGCATGTTCAAGCTTTTTTTAAAACCATTTGTTAACGGAACGGACAAAGTTTTCATGTATTCGATCCTTCTTAAACGTTCCCTTAATGTTTTTTTTCTGAAAGGAATTGTATTTTTGCCACTAACTCAAATTTTCTAATCAGCGTATTTATTCGACTTGATATCTTGGAAATTGTTAAGTTGCGCCAGCCGTACCTTATCTCAAATTCTCCTCAACTCAAACTCCAACAGAATTGTGTTTTGCTGAAATGATAAATTTCAACAGTGAGAAAAGCTCCCATTCAATTTATTTAATTACATCAAGGACAAAAGGGATTTGAGTTTTTTCCACAAACACAAATTTTCCATGCCCTATATCCTAACCGTTGATATTTAAAACTTATAATATTTAATCTAACAGAAACTTTAGTTTGAAATATCCAAGGTCTACTACATTAGGTTGCAAAGATAAAGTGATTAGAAAATTTGAATTTGTGGTGAAGACTTAAGTGTAAAATAGTTTGTCGCACAATTAAGAGACGTTTTGACCTAGCATTTTACTACAGTCTTTATAACTACACTCTAACTCATGTTCTAACTGCTTAATCTGTTTAATGTTTAGAGTTTTTACTAGATGTCGGAACCCTCGCAAAGCCCGTGCAAAACAGAATTTAACATAGAAGATCACTTAGAAATAAAAGCAGTGAATATATATCTATGTATATTTCATAATACAAATAAAGACAATAAACAAGTTGCAAGAGCGGATTTGTACTCTGTACTCTGTACAGAACACACTCAAATTGAGATAATTTTTCAAAAAAAAGCTATCGACATTCTTTAAAGGGACTGTAAAGGAAAAATGAAAGGGTGTATAGGCTAAAACCTAAGCATTTTAGAAGTTGATCGAGACCCATAAGAGTTCTATTTGATGTTCCTGTCTCAAAAATTGATAAAAACTGTGTAAAATTTATACAAATATCTCTAAATATAAAATTTTGTATAAAAATAGTAGGTTTAAATAGATTGTATTCAGCAAATACACAACCAATCTGAAAACGACAATATCCTAGAGAAGCCTAAGTAACTTAGGTTTGCTCCTATTGTTATTTGAATTTAATAATTTTTCATTTTTAATAGATGTAATTGACAATATAATTATTTCGTTCGTATCACGCGACCAGAACTCCCACCAACGGCAGTGCAGTATTAGTGTCAATGTCTCTGTCTGCATCATGTGACCATTATACTGCTCTGCCATTGGTGAGAGTTTCTACAGTCTCACCCTTTGTGGGTAAAGTGGTACTCTTTGTTTAAGTATTTGTTTGGATGTCTGATCATAAGCTTGGTTTAAAAATTCTTCATTTAGTTGGTTAACTTAATTACAGGGAAAACTTGGGTTCCAGGAAAAGCTGGGTTCCCAAGCTAGTTTGTAAATGAAACTTGGCCATGCCATGGTCAAAACATAATCAGAAAGCAGCATGTATTTATCAATACTGTTTTCATACCTCCAGACTGTGCATTGCATACCTGAAAGCAAAAATATTTATGACTATTTGTTAATGTAAAACTTTTCATTTCAATTGAATGCGATTAAGATTAATAAGATTCTTGACTCTTTTTGAAAAAACCATCTAACCCTTAACAGGCTAGGGGGGGGCATTTGGCCCCCCCCCCCACCCCTATCCCTCTAGTTTTTTTCCCTAGCACTCTCATTTTTGACACTATTACCGTGAAATATTTAGACTTTTAATAAACAGAATTTAAAAGATATTCAGGTTATTTTTTATGCATAGGGTAGGGTACAGGGTGGTAAAATGTCGGTCTGTGTAAAAAGAAATCTAAAATACCTTTTTCATGATTAAGGTTACAGATCTAAAAACTAAATTTTGAAAAGCCCTTGAAAAGTAGATGTAGAAACTTGTGTCACACTTTGATATTTGTTTTTAAAAAATATATATTTTTACATTTTTTTACCTTTTTTGGTATTCTTTTAACCCTTTCTAGCAACCAAACCAAAAAGTTATCAATCTAATATTTTTAAATGAGTTGGCCTTGAAAAATTGGGCTATGAACATGCCTTAGACTCGCTAAGGTCTTTTTCTAGGGGGGGGGGGACATGGGAAGCCCCCCTTAGTATATATATATATACAGACGGAAATCATGTGACCAGTATACTGTACTGCCATTGGCTGATGTTCTGGTGACGTAATACAAATTATACGAACTATATGTAATAATATTATAAATTATATCTATTAAAATGCAAAATAAAAATTAAAAGATTATAATAGGAGCAAACCTGAGATTCTCAGGCTCCTGTAGGATATAATCGTTTTCAGATTGGTTTCGTATTTGCTGAATATGATCTGTTTAAACCAACTACTTTTATACAAAATTCCAAACATATGAATTTTCGTATGAATTTGATACAGTTTTATATTTACTTCTCGAGACAGGAACATCAGAGAGAAATCTTATATTTATTGTTCAACACCTGAGATTCTCAGGTTTAATACTATACCCCCTTCATTTTCCCTTTACAGTCCCTTTAATTATATCCTACCATATATTAAAAAATATATCTACCTTATAATTATTAATAAAAGCCAGGAAAAGTTTTATTCACAACATTGTTTTTAAACATTCTTTAACAATAATGCAGAGATGGATTGATGGATTGGAAAGATAATTAACAAGCTAAATACAATAGTGGTTTTTCATCAACTTATTTCTAAAGCATTTAGTTTAATATTGTTGTTAAAATGATATGTACATTATACAAAATAATCAAAAAGCAACAAATTCGAAAAATACATCGTTTTTAAATTTTTATAAGAGACTGAAGCCTGCTCAATACGGGTTATGGCAAGTGTTCAATTCCTTAAAAATAAAATCCATTAAATATTTCTTGATTTTAGAGTTTCTTATTACAACTCGATACAAAATATCTCAATTTGATTTTGACAAAGTTACACCTATCTCAGGGCTTTAAAGGTTTTACAAAAAATATGGTATTAGAAAATGCAAGCAATTCTCATTACATTGGGTTAATAATTTCTATTTGCTGCAATTCCTGTGAAATTTCAGGAAAGTTAGTTTTATGACAATAAACATGTAACTCGATAAAAGGCTATTGTAAGAAAGTTTTTATTTGTTTGAATTTTTAAGAATTTGTGAACAGGCTATTTCAAAGTTGGTTTAATATGGTTCTGTGCAGTTCAAATTTACTTTTTGTTATATTCTGAATGCCTTAAAGCACTGCTATTTTGAGCTGTATTGAATGCTTTTCAAATCATTAATTATTGGTTTTGAAAATCCATCTATAAAAAAGTTTTGGTTGCAAAACTTAACAAAACAAAAAACAAAGGAGTTGGTCACTCAGCACCAAAGGGGTATATCTTCCTTACAGATCATTATTTTTACATCTAGTTTTTTCTAAAGTAAGTCCAGTATATCCCTGAATGGTGTTCTGGCCAGGATGTACCTTGAAAAGTGCAGGGGCGCAAACTGTTGAAAAAAGGGGGGTCGATAGGGTGCTATTTTCGGAAATACTGATTCAAATAAAATGATATTTCAAACTATTTTATTTTAGACCATAACTAATAGATTTATGTTGTTTTGGTCTATTTTAGTACTTCAGGGGCGTAGAAATAGGACTTTAAAGTTTTGCAAGGGGTATATCTCTTTGAATTTTCATTTAATGAATATAATGTGTTCAAACTCGGGTTCCAAACAGATAAAATGATTAAATGATTGACTTTATTGTGTTGTAAATCTGTCAGGGGCGTAGAACTAGGACATTTCAAAAATTGATTTTTAACA